ATATTTTTTAATAAAATAAAATGGTGAATACCTTGTCTAAGGCCACGGAGATGGTGAGTGGAGGAGTTTGGATTCGAACCCATGTCTGCATGACTCCAAAGCTCAGGTCCTTGTCATATCTCACGGGTCAAAGCTTGGCCAAGATTAGGAGGAAGTTCTAGCAAAATTACCCAGTGCCTGACTGGTTACTTGAGAGTAGGAGGTGTGGGGTTTTCCCAGGGTCCGGGATTGGCCCAGGGGACTTCAGAGTTCAGTCCCGGTGTGACTGAATGTAAAACCAGTTGGGACGTGAGTGTAGCTAAGAGAGTGGGGGACAGTGTGTGTGAGGGAGGGGGGACCGTCAAAGCGTAGAAAGAACTTGAAGGCCTAGAAAAGGTCAGAGCCAGTGTAGATGGTCGTGGTCTAGGTGGGGGAGTCAGAGTTCGTGGTGAAATCTTGGTAGATGGAGCAGTTCCCAAAGCGGGCCATACTCACATTCTCCCCTCTGGATCTTTGCACATGATGTTTTCTCTACCTTAAATATGGTTTTCAATGCCCACTCGCACTCCAGTCACACACACACCCTGATCTTGCCTGGCTAAGTCTTATTCATCCTTCAGGTCTTAGCTTAGATGACCCCGACCGGATTGGATGCTTCTTGTCTATGCGCCCACAACCCTCTATGCCTCATTGTAATCGTGCGGACTACCCTTTATTATAACTGAAAGCTTGCTTCTCTCTCTCCAGTAGTCTGTGAGCTTCCTGAGGGCAGGAACAGTTTCTTACTCATGTCCCTGTCCCCAGTACCTACTATAGGGCCTGGCCCAGGGTACTTGCTCAATAGGTATTAAGAAGCAGTACGACGGGAGCACCTGGCTGGCTCAGTCAGTAGAGCATGTACCTCTTGATCCTAGGGTTGTGGGTTCAAACCCCTCATTGGGTGTAGAGATTACTTAAAAAAATTTTTTTAAATCTTAAAAAAAAAAAAAAACAAGCAGGGGTGCCTGGGCGGCTCAGTCAGTTAAGCATCCGACTCTTGATTTTAGCTCAGGTCATGATCTCAGCGTCCTGAGATCGAGCCCTGTGTTGGGCTCCCTGCTTAGTGGGGAATCTGCCTGTCTCCCCTCTCCCTCTGCCCCTGCCCCTGTTTGCATGCTCTTTCTCTCTGTCTCTCTTAATAAATAAATCAATCTTTAAAAAAGAAGCAGTGTGGCTCTAAGAGTACACTTAACATGGGGGCGCCTGGGTGGCTCAGTCGGTTAAGCGTCTACCTTCAGCTCAGGTCATAATCCCAGGGTCCTGGGATCGAGCCCCGCACTGGGCTCCCTGCTCTGCAAGGAGCCTGCTTCTCCCTCTCCCTCTGCCACTCCCCCGCTTGCTCTCTCTCTCTCTCAAATAAATAAATAAAATATTTTAAAAAAAAAGAGTACACTTATCATGAAGAGCACTGAGTAATGGATACAACTGTTGAATCACTGTATTTTATGCCTGAAACTCATATAACACTATGTTAACTATACTGGAATTAAGACAAAAGAAGAAGCAGTAAGGTTAAACACAATGTGGCATCTTGAATTGGATTTTGGAACAGGAAAAGGATATTAGTGGGGAAACTGGTGAAATCCAAATTAAATCTATAGTTTAGTTAAGAGTTATTAATAGTTACTAGTCTATAGTTTAGTTAAAAATAGTAACATTACCAACGTTAATTTCTTGTGACACACGTAGATGGTTACCTAAGATGTCAACATTAGGGGAAGCTGGGTATAAGTTATATGAGAACTCTCTGAACTATCTTTGTAACTCTTCTGTAAGTTAAAATTATTTTTAAATTTAAAAGTTTATTTAGGGAGCACCCGGCTGGCTCAGTCCATAGAGCATGCAACTCTTGATTTCAGGGTTGTGAGCTTAAGCCCCATGTTGGGCATGGAGCCCACTTAAAAAAAAAAAAAAAAAAACAGGGGCGCCTGGGTGGCTCAGTCGTTAAGTGCCTGCCTTCGGCTCAGGTCATGTTCCCAGGGTCCTGGGATCGAGCCCCACATCGGGCTCCCTGCTCCGCGGGAAGCCTGCTTCTCCCTCTCCCACTCCCCCTGCTTGTGTTCCCTCTCTCGCTGTGTCTCTCTCTGTCAAATAAACAAAATCTTAAAAAAAAAAAAATCAGGGCACCTGGGTGGCTCATTTGGTTGGGCAGCCAACTCTTGATTTCAGCTCAGGTCATGATCTTGGAGTCCTGGGATGAAGCCCCGTGCTTGGCGGGGAGTCCGCTTCAGAATTCTCTCTCCCTCTGCTTCTCCCCCTGCTCGCTCACTCACGCACTGCTCTCTCTCTCTCTCTCTCTCTCTCTCAAATAAATAAATAAATATTTTAAAAAATCAATCAATCAATGAATAAAAGTTTATTTAAAACAAAACAAAAACAGAAGCAGTATTGTGGTTAGGAGGGCAGCCTGTGTACCTTAAAAGACTACTTGCCCTTCCTGAACCTCCTTTTTTTAATCTGTGAAATGAGGATAATAAGAGTATCTTTTATTTTATTTTATTTATTTATTTGAGAGAGAGAGATTGAAAGAGAGAGAGAGTGCACGAGAAGGGGGTGGGGCAGAGGGAGAGGGAGAAGCAGGCTCCCCGCTGAGCAGGGAGCCCAATGCGGGGCTTGATCGCAGGACCCCGAGATCATGACCTGAGCTGAAGGCAGACGCTTAATGACTGAGTCAATCAGGCACCCCCAGAGTACCTTCTTGATAGAATTGTAAGTTTATCTATACACACAGATTTTATTCTCTCTCTAGAGATGTGCACATACATAATATTCACTGGATGTCGGTCACTATTCTAAGTATTTTACATATGTTAATTTATTTTAATCTTCTTCCAACCCCATAAGGTAGGATCTAACAGCCACAGCAGCAGCATCCCCCTCCTACAGGTGGAGAATTTGAGGAACAGGAAGTTAACTAGCGTCAACAGATAGGAAGTGGTACAGCTGAACCATGAACTCAGAGGGTCTGGCTCCAGAGCTGATACTTGCATTATGTTACCTCCCTTTCAGCTTGACTGAGTTAATACCTGCAAAGCACTTACACCAGTGCTCAGGCACTGAATAGCATTAGCTATTATTTAATTACCCCTGAAAGACGGGTCTAAGGTGGGATTCTACTTGTGAGTTCCAGGGTGGGATAGAGGCAAAGACCATAGAGGTTTATAAAAATAAAACTTCAAGGGCGCCTGGGTGGCTCAGTTGGTTGGGCGACTGCCTTCGGCTCAGGTCACGATCCTGGAGTCCCGGGATCGAGTCCCGCATCGGGCTCCCTGCTCAGCGGGGAGTCTGCTTCTCCCTCTGACCCTCTTCCCTCTCGTGCTCTCTATCTCTCATTCTCTCTCTCTCTCAAATAAATAAATAAAATCTTTAAAAAATTTTTTTAAATAAATAAATAAATAAAACTTCAAGCCAGGAAGTTCGGAGGTTGGAAAGGAATCAACAAGAAGTGAAGACCAGTTTCTTTGTTTGGGTTTTTCCCCATTCACTGCCACTGCTATTCATTCAACTTGGTCTGAAAAAGATCTAGAAGTCTTCTCCAGTGCTGAGGACTCTGTTGTATTTCTGAGGATTATTTTGATCATCTAACCCTGCAGTAATTTTTAAGCCATCGATACTTTAAAAAGTCCACTTTTTACTAACTTATTTAAGTTCAATTAGTTAACATATAGTGTATCATTAGTTTCAGATGTAGAGTTCAGTAATTCATCAGTTGCATATAACATCCAGTGCTCACTACATCACGTGCTGTCCTTAAAGCCCATCACCCAGTTACCCCATTCCCCCACCCACCTCCCCTCCAGCAACCCTCAGTTTGTTTCCTAGAGTTAAAAGTCTCTTATGGTTTTCTCCCTCTCTGGTTTTGTCTTATTTTATTTTCCCCTCTTTTCCACTGTGATCCTCTGTTTTGTTTCTTAAATTCCACATGTGAGTGAAACCATATGATAATTGTCTTTCTCTGATTGACTTATTTCCCTCAGCATAATACCCTCCAGTTCCATCCACGTCAATGTAGATGGTAAGATTTCATCCTTTTCTGATGGCTGAGTAATAGTCCAGTTTGTGTATATACCACATCGTCTTTATCCATTCATCTGCCGAAGGACATCCGTTGATGGACATCCACAGTTTGGCTATTTGGACACTGCTGATGTAAACATTGGGGTGCACGTGCCCCTTCAGATCCATTTTTATGAAGCATTTTCCGGTTGAACTTAAGTCATATGCAAACTTAAAGCACTTTTTAGAAAACTGTGTTGATAATAAAGGGGAATATTCAGATAAATTTTAGCACATACAGGGGCTCAAGGCTATTTTGTATAATCACTCACTCTATTGTCTGGACACAGAAGATGGTCAATTTAATAACATACAACAAAACGAAATGGGAAAAACAATCACTGTGAAGCCCATCCTACTGGTCAAGGTACTAATTCCACCCCGGCTTCTTGCCCGCTCATCCGGCTCTTTTATACAGACACAGTCTTACACGTTTTCAACGAAGTATTTATTATCAGTTAAGCCATGATTCCAGATCCCAGGGTGGGGATCACCATGCACCAGGGCCCCCCTTCACCACCCTGGGACAAGGACTGAGGACAGAGAAGAGGGTGGAGCCAGTTCAGGTCTTCCCAGGAAACCTGCCTTCTGCCCGGCGGCCGTGCCAGGCTGACCCCCAGGATGTGGGGCAGCGGGACTTGTACACACACCAGTGCCATTGCCCCACGGAGACATAACCTGGGACTCCTTCTGAACCCATAAAGGACACTAGAAGTCATCTAATCAGGACCCTTTCTTGTATATGGCTTATTCTGTGCCAGACACTGTGTCAGCAAATGAGAAACAGAGATCAACCAAAACAAAACAAAAAAACAAAACAAACAAACAAAAAAAGAACTCTGACCTCTCTGACTCTAGTTCTTTACAGCCTGGTGCCTAAGACAAACGTAAAGCATATAGTGTGAGAGGTGTTAACAGAGACGTAAATGCAGAGTGTTGAGGCGACAGCTGTCCCTGGGGAGATCAGGAAAGGCTTCCCAGAGAAGGAGATCCTGCCGCTGGATGTTTCCAGTGGAAAGAATGGAACGTAAGTGGCAGCTTGGAAGGTGAGGTCGCTGAGGCGGTCTTCCCTGAGGGCACAGGCTGGGCCATGGCCCCCAGCCTCTAGCGCTGCCCGGCTCAGGATTTTAGGCACGCCCCTGCCAGGAGCCTCCGGAGCTCTTTCTCCAGCCGGACCCAGCCAGCTTCCAGCACGGCTCTGGGCCCAGGGTTGGATCGCCAGATTTAGCAAGTAAAAATACAGGCCACCCAGTTAAATTTGAATGTTGGCTAAGCAGTCAATATTCTGTAGTTCAAGTATGTCCCCAGAATATGAATCGGACATACTTATACTACAAAATATTTGTAGTTCAAGTATGTCCCCAGAATATGAATCGGACATACTTATACTACAAAATATTTGTTGTTTATCTGCTGTTCAAATTTAACTGGGCATCCTGCATTTTATCAGGCAGCTCCACCTAGAGTAAATACAGATTTGTGAGAGTAAGAGCGTGGGAGAAGAAGAGAAGAAAGAAGAAAGGAAGGGCAGAAGGGAGCTAGTTCATTGCCGGAGGATGAACAGGGAGCCTTGCAGATTTGAGGAAAGCAGTAGATTTGTCAAGACCTAAAAACCACACAAAATCTGGCCTTCACATAACTTCTCACTACTTCCTTTCTGTTTTCATTTCTCCAGTTTTATTGAAACATAATTGGCATATAGCACTGTATAAGTTTAAGGTATGCAACACGATTTGATGTATGTGTCTCTTGCAAAATGATCATCACAGTAAGTTCATTTAACATCCATCACCTCACAGAGTTACATTTTTTTCTTGATGAGAATTTTTAAGGTCTGCCCTCTAAGCAACTTCCAAATTTACAATGCAGCGTTGCTAACCATAGCCCTCCCGTTGCACATTACAGCCCCATCTCCGTTTGCAGTTCTATGTAGTACAAGAGAAACAGTTGTTTCCCCCCTTTTTGTTAAAAAGTCTGCCCCCGTGTGGTGGGAAAGAAGTATTAGGCCAGAAGCCTTACTTCTGGTCTTTCGGCTCACTGGGGCCAAAGGCCCCCACAAAGGCCAGCGATCCGGAAAGCAGGATGTGATACTAGGAGTTTATATGTTTGTTTCTCTGTTTGTTTAAGTGGGGGGACAGGGGAGGAACGAGCAAAAGATGAACAGACTATATGAAGAGCATTGTTAAAATAGCTTTAAAATTAAAAGAAAGTTTAAAATAGAATAGCTCTAAAATTTTGCTCAAGACACACTTGTAACTTTGCACAAACCAGCATCATCTGTTTCCAGGCTGCAGAAAGCAAGTTAAGAGACTTGCCTAAAATTCATGCGGGAGACTATTTCAATTGAGACCCACCTAACAAACGGTCAAGTACCATTTGAACGTTGTCAGTTAAAGAGCCACCGTGGTGATCTTCGAAGTGAAGAAAGCCTGGTTCGCGTGCCTCTTCTAGTCACTAACCTTACTGGCAGGTAGCCCGATCCCCAGGCTGAAGTCACCGCTTCCCAGGGAGGGGGTTGTCCTCCCCGGGGGAGGCTGCTCGTTCTCCCCAGCCATGAGAAGAAGAGACTGGGCTGCCATTTGCCTCAGCTCCAAACTTCCCACGCTGCCATCATCCTGGGTAACTCCCGTGTCTATGCGGACCCTCCCCCAAAAACCAGGCCTCACGGTCCCTGCCTCTCCTCACCTCTGGGGTCTCACTCACCACCTCGCGGCGCACGCCCACGGACGTCACTCAGCTGGGCCACCCCCTGGGTACACCTCCTCTTCTGAAGTCCCCAACTCCAAAGGGTCCCTCGCAGACCGGGCCATGACCTTCGGACCTTCCTACTTTCTCGCGTTTCCATCAAGCCTCTTCCTTTAACTTCCGGTAGACGCCCAGAATCCTGAGCAGCCCCCACTCGCTGGTGGCTTCGCGGCCTTCCGTCAGCCGCCTGGACTCCGCCCGGGCTCCCTCCAGGTGCTCTCCCTCCCGCCGCTCGGCCTCCAGAACGCACCGCCTTCCGCATCTCCCTCGCTCCGCACAAGTGACCTTCTCCGGCGGACGGACGACAAGGCGTGGGGTAGTGGGGAGCTGGGGGGCTCCTCCCAGCCGCACCCGCCCCTACTCACTTGCCTCCAGTATCAGGGAATGAGGGGTCCCTCCGCGCGGGCCCCGGCCATCCCTTTCTCTCCCTTGTTTCCTCACCCCGCTTCCCCTTCCTCATGGTCTGCGCCGCCTCACCTCCCTGACGCCCCCCCCCCCCACACACACACCCCTGCAGATTGGCCTCCGCCCTCACAGCCCCCTGCCTCGGCTCTCCCTGAGGTCAAAGGGCCGCTGGAGCCATTGCGTGCTCGCCCACCGTCACCCTAGTCGCCCCTGTTTGGCCGGGCCACCCCCTTCTCTGCTGAGGTCTCTGAGGGCTCAGGGCTGGCCCCTCTCCACTCCTCTGTCCACACCCGCCTGCCAGCGGGAGCTCACTCGGAGCCAGCTAGCGAGGACTGCCTCCAGCCTCGCCCTCCGCCGTGCGCCGTCGAGCCCTGCGCGCAGCTGAGGCCGAGGGCCCTTTAAGACAAAACCCACACACTTACAAGATCCAGTCATTTCTTTTCACATCCGTCTGCCGGACAGGGCGTTTATCGGGCCCTTGGGCTACGAGCTCTCTCGTCAGCCCTCTGCCGGGTTCAAACGCGGCCTCCCCCACCTCTCAGCTATGGGAGCTGGATTAAGTTCCTAGACCTCATTAGCAAAATGCGATTACTAATGGTGGCAACCTCACTGGGTCGTAGCGAGGATGAAATGAGATAATCCACGGAAAGTGCTTAGTGCCCCGCCGGGCCCGGACGTGGCGAACACTCACTGTGTTCTACACTCCGTTGGTCAGTCGGCCTGGGTCTCAATTCTGGCCCTGCCGCTTCCTTCTCGGCGTGTCCCCTGAGCAAGTTATGTAACCTCTGTGCGCCTCGGTTGTCTCCTCCGTCAAATGCGGAGCGCAGTATTGTCCGCCACACCCGGCTAGGCTGCACATTCGATCAGTGGGCCCGTAGAGCACGGAGAAGAGTTCTCATAAAGGATTAAATATTAATGCTATGTTATGTTAGCCCCCAGAAAGGCAAGGAATGCATTTGTGAGCCTTGCCAGAGCCCAGCCATCTGGATCTCGTTCCTGGTTCCCCTTGCAATATACTAGACACATGCATACATGCTCCTTGAGGCCAGCCAGGAAATGGGAAGCGACATCAGGCCAACAGCTACCATCTGGCGCCGCCCAGTGTCGGGCTGCTTCGGGGACAGCTCTCCTGCGGGGATGTCTCCAGCTGCAGGATTTCTTACAGCTGGACGTAGCTACGTGACACTCCCCTGAGGTCCAAGTGGCCTCTCCTGGACTGTCAGCATCCTGTGCTTTCTTATCTTGAAACTGTCCCTGAGGCTGTAAACAAGGATCTGCTGTTCTTATTTTTATTTTTATTTTTTAAAGATTTTATTTATTTATTTGACAGAGAGAGACACAGCGAGAGCAGGAACACAAGCAGGGGGAGTGGGAAAGGGAGAAGCAGGCTTCCCGCCAAGCAGGGCGCCAGACGTGGGGCTCGATCCCAGGACCCTGGGATCATGACCCGAGCGGAAGGCAGACGCTTAACGACTGAGCCACCCAGGCGCCCCTGCTGTTATTTTTAAAGAAATGTAAAAAAAAAAAAAAAAAAAAAAAGTGATTAACCCTTAGCAGCCCTGTCCCCTGCTGCAGCTGGGAATCCACGCGCTTGCGGAACATCTCCAACAGGCCCTCCGGGCCGCCCAGCGGTCCTGCACCTTCTCCCTGGTCAGCCTGTGCTTTCCTTTCCCCAAACTTCCCTCACTCTCCTTAGGCCTCCCATCCTGTCATCTCCCCGACTCTCCCGGCTCCACCCCATCTCTCAATGGATCACCGTGCCTCCTACTTCACAGAGAAAATTGAAGCTCGCAGATGCAAAACAATCACTCCCTGTCGGTAAATCTGACAGTGTGTTCTGTCCCCATCTTTCTGGATCTCTCCGCGGCATTTGACACGGTTAGTCTCTTCTTGACACACTTCCATCCCCTGGTTTCGAAGATGCTACAATCTCTTGGTTTCGCTTTCCCCTTGGTGGCTACTGTTCTTCACTCTCCATTGCTGGTTCCTCAACATCAAGTCAACTTTGAATGTTAGAGAGCGCCATGGCTCTGCCCTTGGACCTCTTCTCTTTACCTACCTTCACTTCCTTGATGACTGCCTCCAGTTTCATGACGTCACCTACTGTCCTACTGCCTACATGTTGATGACTCCCAAAATTATATCTTCAACCAGACCTCTCTCCTGAACTCCAGACCCATCCTGCTGCCCACACGCTGGGGGGCTTAAACAATAGACATTTAGTTTCTCATAGTTCTGGAGGCCAGAAGTCCAAAATCAAGGAGCATCAGGGTTAGGGACGCCTGGGTGGTTGGTACAGTCGTTAAGCGTCTGCCTTCGCCTCAGGTCATGATCTCAGGGTCCTGGGATCGAGCCCCACATCAGGCTCCCTGCTCGGCGGGAAGCCTGCTTCTCCCTCTCCCACTCCCCCTGCTTGTGTTCCCTCTCTCGCTGTGTCTCTCTCTGTCAAATAAACAAATACAATCTTAAAAAAAAAAAAAAACAAAGGAGGATCAGGGTTAGTGTCTGGTGAGACCTCTCTTCCTGGCTTATAGATGGCCACCTTCTTCGTGTCCTCACATGGCCTTTCTTTTGTGTGTGCATGGAAAGAAAGAGAGCTCTCTGGTGTCTCGCTTCTTATAAAGATACCAATTCTATCGGATTAGGGCCCTACCCTTTTGATTTCATGTAACCTTAATTACCTCCCTAAAGGCCCTATATCCAAATACTAACACCTTGTGGATTAGGGTTCCACTGTATGTTTTGGGGAGGGACACAATTCAGTCCATAACAGATATCTAACAGACATCTCAACCTTAATATGTCCAAAATGGAACTTCTGATTAGGGGCACATTCAAATGCCTGGGTCCTGAAACATATACAATTTGGGGACCTTTCTTCAGGAAAAAGAACTTGAAAATAACTTACGGGGATGCCTGGGTGGCTCAGTCGGTTAAGCGTCTGCCTTTGGCTCAGGTCGTGATCCCAGGGTCCTGGGATCAAGCCTCGCGTCGGGCTCCCTGCTCCGCGGGAAGCCTGCTTCTCCCTCTCCCTCTCCTTCTGTGTGTGCTCTCTCTGTCAAATACATAAATAAAATCTTAAAAAAAAAAAGAAAAAAGAAAATAACTTACTAACATATTGCTAGAGCCTGAGCAAATGAGAGACCTAATCATCATTAGTTTTACAGTAAATCTGCCTCTGCTACTGATCTTCATTCCCTCCCTCCCCCCACACACCTGATACATAGCCCTTCCTCCTCTAGTCAGTGGCAACTCTGGCCTTCAAGCTGCTCAGGCCTAAACCCTTCAAGTCATAGTTGACTCTCCTCTTTTTCTCTCCCCCTATATCTAGTACATTAAAAAAATTGTGCTGCTTCTACTTTCGAAATACGTTCAGAATCTGACCACTTCTTACCATTGCTACCATGACCGCCCTGTACTAACTCCTCATCAACTCTTGCTTAGAATATGGCAATGACCTCTAACTGGTGTCCTTGCTCCCACTGTTGACCTCAAAAGTCTGTTTTCAACACAGTGAGACTTTTAAAAATCTAAACCAAAACATGTTAGCCCAAAGCCCTCCAATTTTCTTGTTCAACAAACATAATCAAGGCAGCATTCTAGGCCATGGGGACACAGAAGTGGAAAAAAAAAAAACAGATATGGAGCTTACATTCTAGTAATGCATTCCCTCCTCATTCAGAGTAAAATCCAAGGTCCTTATAATAGATTTTCCTTGTTTACTTGTTTATTGTGTCTCCCCTGACTACAGTATAAATTGCATAAGGTCAGGAATTTGTTGGTCTGTATACTTAGTGAATGGCACATGTTAGATATTTAATAAATATTTGTTGAATGAGTGAATGAACTTTCCCATACCAAACTGATCCATCTATCCACATCTGTACTTTTCTGATCCACTTTCTCTCCCCTTACAAGTAAAGGAGATATCCTTCCCTTTATCTATGGTACAGTGGCTCTCGAACTTGAATACACATCAGAATCCCCTGGAAGGCTTGTTAAAACACAGCACTCTAGGCCCCAGCCCCCAAACTTTCTGATTCAGTCAGTCTCAAGTAAGGTCTGAGAACCTGCATCTCTAACCAGTTCCAGGTGATGGTGATGTTACTGGTCCAGGGAATCGCGGATCTCACCACACCCACTTTCTCAGGAAACTTACACTACTAACGATCTTTTCTTTCTAAATATCTTCAGTGGCTATCTTTCGACGGAGTCCTTCCATTCCCTTCTTACTGCTACTATAGCTCTGTCCTCTTTTTTTAAGGATTTATGTATTTATCCTGGGGGCGGGGGGCATTGGGCAGAGAGAGAGTGAGAGAGAGAGGCCCGAATAGACTCCCTGCTGAGCACAGAGCCTGACTCGGGGCTCGATCCCACAACCCTGAGATCATGACCTGAGCTGAAACCAAGAGTCAGACGCTCAACCGGCTGAGCCACCCAGGTGCCCCTAGCTCTGTCCTCTTGATCATCAGTCACATTTCTTACAAGTGTTATCTATACTGGAAGTTTCCATTTTTCACCCTCACTCACTTCTCCATCCGCTCCAGTCAAGCTTCTGTCCCCATAACGCCACCAAAACTTTCCTCACTAGGGTCACAAACGATCTGCATGTCTTCAAATCTAATGGACATGTTTTTTAGTCATCACCTTACATGCCTTCAACATGCTGAAAACTCTTTCCTCCTTCTTGAAACAGTGCCTTCCCGTGGCCTCCATGAAATTATAATCTCATTGTTTTTCTCATACTTCCGTGGCTGATCCCTCTCAGGCTCATCTTCTTCTATCAAACCATTAAACACCGGAAAGCCTAAAGATTTGATCCTACAACATTTTCTGTTGTTACTCTGTATTCTCTTAAGGAGATCGAATATGACCAAGGCTTCAATTTCAAGATGCCAGTATTGCCCAAAT